CCAGCAGGATTTGGCTCTTTAAAAGTTCTCACATCCAGCAGGAATTCCACCGGAGGACATTTGGACACCTTTACAGATGAACAGAGTTGGAAGGGACCTTGTAGGTCATCTAGTCCAACCCACCCCCACCCCCCAAGCAGGAGATCCCTACACCATTTCACCTTGTGTGTGTGTGTGTTGGTTGGTTTTGTTAAATTCTAATTTTGAAAAAAATATATATAATAAACTGGGAAAAGTGGAAATTGGGTCACCTTTTGCTTGTCTCTGGACATGACTCGAGTTTATTTTCATTCCTTTTCCCTCCTCGGATTTTATGTGCTGAGACAGCAGACTATTTTTTCCTTACAATGCTGCGTTTGCACAACTTATCCGTGATTTCACAATTAATGACAAGGCACATCAGTGTTTCTCAGCTTCAGCAACTGAAGAGGGGTGGACTTCAATTCCCAGAATTCAACAGACAGCTCTGCAGTGATTGGGCTGAAGAGCTGTAGCAAGAAACAATCTAAAACTCATTTAACAACCAACACTGGCAATTCTGGTCATATATTGAGGACTTCCTAAGTATTTGGTTGCTTTGAATGTGACTAAAATAAACTCGAGTCATGTCCAGGGAAAAGCAAAAGGCAACCAAATTCGTTTTCCCAGTTTATTCTAATTTTTTTTTTCAAAATTATACTTTTTTTAAAACACACACAAGGTGAACTAATGTAGGGGTCTTCTGCTTGAGCAGGGGTTTGGACTAGATGACCTATAAGGTCCCTTCCAACTGTTAATCTGTAAATTAGTAACACCGTTGTTAAGTGAATCCAGTTTCTCCAGGGACATTTCAACTGTCATAAATAGGAGTTGGTTGTAAAGCTTCCTAACGTCCACGGGGGTGCGGCAATGGTTGTCGGTATGATAAACGGTTGTAAGTTTATTTTAGTGCTGCGGTAACTTCGGCCATGAAACAAAACAGTTGTAAGAACGGTTGCCCAAAAGGAGCTGCTGATCCAGTTCTACAGAGGAGTTATTGAGTCTGTCATCTGCACCTGTATAACTGTCTGGTTTGGTTCTGCAACCCAACAAGACAGACACAGACTTCAAAGAGTGATTAGGACTGCAGAAAAAACAATTACTACCCACCTGCCTTCCATGGAGGACCTGGATCCTGCAGGGGTCAAAAAGGGGGCTGTGAAAATATCTACAGACCCCTCACATCCCGGACAGAAACTGTTTCAACTCCTACCCTCAAAACGATGCTATAGAGCCCTGCACACCAGAACTAGACACAAGGACAGTTTTTTCCTGAATGCTCTCACTCTGCTAAACAAATAATTCCCTCAACACTGTCAATTTATTTACAAAGACTGTACCACTATTATTATTCTCATCCTTCCTATTACCTACCTCTTCCCATTTATGACTATAACCATGTTGCCTGCATCTTTACAATTTACATTGTTTTGTTATCCTAGTATGTTTTGATTTGTGTATTAGTAACCTATGTATGATTTGATTGCTTATATAGTAACCTGTGAGTATGACTAAGTGTTGTATCCTGATTCTTGATTAATTTATTTTTTCTCTTATGTACACTGAGAGTTTATGCACTAAAGACAGATTCCTTGTATGTCCAATCACACTTGGCCAATAAAGAATTCTATTCTATTATCTTCTCTTCCTATTTTATTTCTCTTCTATTTCTCTTCTCTTTTTTCTTATGATTCTTGACAAATATATTTATTGTTTTCTCTTA